CTCATGCCCAGGCTACTGGTGAAAAAAATTCTGTCTCGGACTGGGAACATTTTAGCCTTTATTTGGAAGATTGCTTGCAAGTTTGCAAATCAAATTTCGTGTCAGGTGTTGTTACTACCAATTAATTACTACTACTGTTGTGATACTGTTCTTCAAGTGTGTAGGACAAGCTCATGGAGTCCTCTTTCCATCCCCTTTTCGATTTGGGGAAAAAGATCTGCTTGTGGATGCAAAAGGCTGATACACTTGCTTGCCAAAAAGTAGTAGCTCCTTTCTTTCTTGGGGGGAGGAGCTCTAGTGTGGTGGTTGCACAGTTGTAGGCCTCATCAGGGTTCAGAAAAGTGGGTGGTGAATTATTGGACCCATACATATCTGTAGTAGTGTTTGGTGGTGGTTGAGTTTATGCGTGCTTTCGCACTAGTTCAGATTACCAGATGAGTTTGGCTTAGTGGGTTCTTAATCTGGGCATTTATATACTGTGTGCCTGTTACTGCAATAGAAAATTTGATGGTCTACATACACTTCTAGTGGGTTATTAGTGGGTGAACCATATGTTACAGTCTGTGGCATGTCTCACCTGTTTAGGCGAGTAATTTGTCAACTGCGTAGACCCGAAGAACTTTTTGTGGAAACTGAGATAGTTTGGCCTGGACACAGGGTGCTAATTTTGTTAATTATCGGAGGCAATAGGAAGCAACAATGGGCTGTTCTTCTTACTAATTAGGATGCAACAATGGACTGTTCTTCTTACTGCTTTCTACCATTCAATGATCAAGGGACTAATTGTCTTTTATTTTTTTGTGGTGATATAGCGGTTGGAGCAGCCTGATGCTGCACCAAGTGTGTCTATGGACGTGCTACAGTTTGTGCCCACCATTCGGTCTGGTAGCTTTGCCGATATTGGTCCTAGGAGGTACATGGAGGACGAACACATCCGGATAGATGATCTTTCCGCTCATCTCGGCTCACTGTTGGTCTGCCCTTTGCCTAGTGCCTTCTATGGGGTAAGTCATTTTCTCTGTAAATTACTTCTCCAGCACCTAGTGTTAAAACATTGCCACAACTGATTGTATCCCTCTGTGTTTTAGGTTTTTGATGGCCATGGCGGTCCGGATGCCGCAGCCTACATGAAAAGGCATGCAATGAGGTTCTTATTCGAGGATAGTGAGTTCCCACAAGCATCTCAAGTTGATGGGATGTACCTTCAGTCTGTTGAGAGCTCTGTTCGCAGAGCTTTCTTGCAGGCGGATCTTGCTCTGGCCGATGATTTGGACATCAGCCGCTCTTCTGGAACCACGGCGCTCACTGCATTAGTCTTTGGGAGGTATAATAAACTGTAGAGCAGTGACAACATTTCGAGTCACTTGAGCCACATTGATCTTGTCTCAAACATTCCTGTGCCTTCCCCTCCTTGCAGGCAACTACTGGTTGCGAACGCCGGGGACTGCCGTGCGGTCTTATGCCGAAAAGGAGTCGCGATGGAGATGTCTCGAGACCACCGCGCAAACTACGTGGAGGAGTGCGAGAGGGTCGCCGCGTCGGGGGGATACATCGAGGACGGCTACCTCAACGGGGTCCTCTCGGTGACGCGGGCCCTGGGCGAGTGGGACATGAAGACGCCCGACGCGCCGGTGTCCCCCGGCCATCGCGGAGCCCGAGTTCCGCAGGCCACGCTGGGCGAGGACGACGAGTTCCTCATCATGGGCTGCGACGGGATCTGGGACGTGATGACGAGCCAGCACGCTGGTGAGCCTCGTGCGGCGGGGCCTGCAGCAGCACGACGCGACCCAGCAGCAAGCGCGAGGGAGCTCGTGATGGAGGCCAAGCGGCTGGAGACGGCAGACAACCTCACGGTCATCGTGGTGTGCTTCGCGTCGGAGCTGGGGTCGCAGCAGCAGGAGCAGCCCGCGAGGCCGAGGAGCTGTAAGGGCCTGTCAACGGAGGCGCTGTGCAACCTGAGGAGCTGGCTGGAGACCGACCACCGCTAGAGGGAGTTGGCGGCGGCGGCTTGAGTGCCGAGGAGGTTGGGTTCGGGATGTGTAAATACTATGCTGACAACACTGGTTGACGCATGATGAGCGCTGGGCCATTTGTTGAGAGGCGGCTGCGGATTACGTAGGCAGGTCAGCTGTAGCAGCAGCCAGCAGTTTTGTAGGTTATTTTTCGCTTCGTTCGTTCTTTCTTTCTTTCACCCTTGTTATTTAGCCGTTGATGTTATTGTTAGCAACACCTCTCTGTTGTACATATATGTATTGATGATGTTGATGACATGCTCCATTGCCACTACCTTCTTCCAAGTTGGTTCTGTTGTAATGCTGGAACTGCAGCAGATTGGCCGTTGGCCGTTGGGGCTGCTGAACAGACATGGCTCATACATGAGGCAAAGAGTTTGGGGGTTAACTAGAAACAGTGAACAGCCTTGAGGCGACGTGAAGCCGTAAGATCATGCGTTTCAGTAATGCCAATGGCACCATTGCCCCAACCACAGAGGCGCCTTTCAAGCAAAGTTCCTTTCTATGGCTGGATGTGTTTATACCTGAGCCGCCAACTTCAGTCAGTGAGAAAAGGAGGGCAGAGCGGGCACAGCCACTGCATTTGACCAAGTGCTGAGCATAGTTTCAGGCACAACGATACTGGGCACGCAATTCCGGCGACAAACCGGGTTAGACAAGTCGTATAGGAGACAGGATATGTTTGGCTGCCAAATCCACAATTATTTACGTACTCATTCTATTTCAAATTATAAGTTTTATAATTATACGATATAGCAAAAGCTATTCTCTTTATATAATTAAAAAGAACAAAGTGTGGATATTTTTTGGTGCGATATTTGTTTTGATTCGTCCGTCTGCCCACGCCTACGATTCCACGACATCTCCCGCATGCCATTCTCCTTGATTGAATATTGTTTGTTATGTGATAGAGGAATCACGGCAAAATAGGAAGTAGAAAATTATTATGTTATCCATATACACATTGCATGTTTGCATGCACCAGCATACATGGCAACGAGCAAAAGTAAAGAGAATTAACACAGAATTCAAATTGGCCAACCTCTTTTGGTGCGACTTTTTTTTGTCGCTCCTCCCTTCCGGCCATGCGATACCCCGCGCAATAGAAAAAGAAACTACTATCTCTGCGATCCCCACCTGCTTTGAAGGAAATAAATCGATCACCTGAGGTGACATGTATGGAAGAAAACAATAATCATGCATGGAATGAAACAATAATCATCCATGGAAACAATAATCATACTTCAGTTAAATTTTTAGTAGATGCAGAGATAATAAAATGAGAGTTTCTGTCTAATATTTTGGGACTCTCTGCTGTCACTTCGAAAAAAAATTATGTTGTCTCATATGACAAAAATATATTCTATGATAAAAAAAACTATGCATGTGCATGTTCAATACTTAGATGTACTACATGATGAAGTTAACATGTTGGTTACAACAGTTCATATGGTATTGTCCATAATTTAGAGGGTATTAAATTTAGGCTGTGTGCATAGTAGGCCACCTAACTTTATTCTTGCAACTTCTACCTCTTTATGTGTTAGTCTTTGTCAATGGTATAATTTGTTCGCAAAGCTCAAGCAAGACAATTGGCAAAGATAAGCAAGATGACTCAATGAGGTTGTTCCTTAATTTTAGTGTTTCCAGCATGCAGACCTGAAATTAAAAGATGTGCAGGTTATACATGATGAGACTGGTGAACCTTCTGCAATTTCCTAAATGAATATTTCCCGTAGCAACGTAGAATTTGATATATGCCACATTTAGTTATTACTATTAGTTCGCGAACTGAGTTAATTCAAACAAAACCTTAACTGACGAATATTATATGTACGAATGCAGCCAGTTCTCTCCTTTTATATTCAACTAGGTAGCATGCCCGTGCGTTGCTATGGGACAATTAAATCTTTTGTACTAAAAACACACGGATCGCACGATAAAATAACAATACTGTTAAATTAAATATCGACATTAAAGTGACATTTAATTCAAAAAGCAAAGTTTGTGAAATTAACACAGTCACGGAGAGCGCGGCGTCGCAGGCTCACAAACTCTACTGTATAGACTTTTTCGTGATATGGCTAAAATAATATTTTATATCGGCAAAATTTTTTTTCCGATATCCATTTCTTTCATTGTAATCCATTTACCTGGACAATGTTTAAGGTGAGGGCATGATTATAGTTTTTAGTAGCTTTGCGATATTGTCCGAATAAACATATATGTTTGAGGTGAGGGCACGGTTACTAACATTATCCAGATAAATGGATTACAATGAAAGAAACGGATATCGGAGATTTCTTCATACCAATATAAAACATTATCTTAGCCGCATCACAAAAAAGTCTATAAAAATAGAGTTTATGAGCCTACGACGCCGCGCACTCCGTGACTGTGTTAAATTCATAAACTTTGCTTTTTGAATTAAATGTCACTTTATGGTATTTAATTTTTACAATATTGTTATCTTATCGTGCGATCCGTGTGTTTTTAATATAAATTGTTCGTTATCCCGTAGCAACGCACGGACACGCTATCTAGCTATCTAGAAAAACTAAAACGTCTTATAATTTAGAACGGAGTATATAAAAGTAAAAACGCAGGGATAAACAGGAGTGGAGGTTAGAGTTCAGGTCTCAAAGCTTGTGAATTACTGCCAAACATCCGTGCAAGTCATCTTTTGCTCTCCCCACACTAAAGCTAACAGTCTGTGAGAATGACAGCAAAGATTGACTGTTCTCACAGCCTAAGCAGACGCTGAAGGAATATCGCAAGCTGACAAGCAGGCGTCAAGGTCGCAAGTATTTCAGCTTCACTGAAATTGCCAGTGGGCAGTTTGATGAAGAGATAACCATGACTCGTGCTAGACAGCGACTTGTATTTACTCTGTCAGTTCAGCCAAACATCTGATCAGATCCTACGAACAGTAGCAGACGATTCACGCATCTTTCAGAATACCGATTCACACGGCTTCTCGTTTTTGGGCTACATGGGTGTGGCTGCCAGGACGGATCTTCCAAAAGGGAGAAACAGGTCCACCATGGAGTCATACTCCTCTCTGCTAACCTGAGCAGCATTCAACATCTGCATCGCACATCATTGATGGGGGAAACAAATCAGATGTCACCAAAGCAAAATAAGATACATTCTTCAACTAAGCACAAAAACCGTCAGTGATAAGTAAAATTGGTTACTCACCTTTTGCACAAGCTTTGAATTTGAAAAGACTGGAGCAAGGGCAGGAAGCTGGTGAACAGAGAGCGCATCAAGCATTACCAGAACCACAGCCTGCCACTGCCTTGATCGCAGAGAAGGCAGGGCGTCAACAAACGACATTGTGTCAATCAAGTAGCCCTGGTGGCAAAGCAAAGCTCACATTAGATAATCCAAAAGCAAGCACATACAGTGTAGTTTCATGTGTTAAGACCAATATAACTGTCAGCCACCAGCATCGAGCTAACCTATCAGTCTAATTTTGAAAGGGTATGATATTAGCAGCATCAAGCATACCAGAGTAATCTCCAATTTTGAAACCGGGATCTGCAACCTCAAGTTTGATACGAGTACTGGCACAGCGTTACAAACGCAAGAATCTAGAGCTCTTCTAATCTCCGATGAGAGCCCATCCTTCAGAACTATCTTCTCAGGATATTCCTCCCATTGGCAATCAACAACTCTTCCACTGAACCCCTTTCAAGTCCATACACATAGGCCAAAGACGCGACCTGGATATCCATCCGAATAGTGCAGCCCACATTGTTCAAAGCAGACAGCTGAAAAGAAATGTACATTATGCCGAGACAGGATTAAAACAAGCAAAACTGGTATTTCTTCTTTTTCCTTCTTAATAATACTTACAGTTAGACTAAAACCTTCTGGAGGCATGTCATGCCAAGAATCATCAACTTCAAACATGTCTGTATCCAGAAGTACAGGTTTCTTAGGCCACTTGATAACATCCCTATCTATCTCAGGGTCATCATCTCCGGCAGTGTTTTTGGCATTGTCATATTCTTTCTGGTTAAGCACCAGGCAGAATGATGATTCCAGCCTTTGAAACTGGCGTTAGAGAGGCTTGCGTGAGTACCAATCAATAACAAAAGTTGTGTGCCTCAAAGAATAGCAACCGTGGGAATATAATGAATACATGCTCACCTGCATCTTCTGCTTCTACTGTGCCTGAAGAAATAGCTTCTGCTGCCTCAATAAGTGCTGCAGCACATGCCTCTGCAGATGCACGCCTTAGTGAACTGTCTATGACATCCTCGGGTTGTTTTATGCTACTTGAAGGGCTTTCATATGCTTTGCTTGTTTCTAGGACACTTCCATTCTCATCTGCCCATGTAACAGACTGTCTACCGCTGTTAGACCCAGTAACTTTCAACGAAGACTTCAATGCAGGCCTCATCTTTTCATCAGTTGTCTCATCATTTCCAATGTTCATTGCTTCACTGAATCTTTCAGACAGTTGTTCAGCATAAGCTTGCGTTGAATCTTTTGCTGAAGATTGAGATGATGAGGGATGATTGTCTACCAATACAGAACTTGACAAGTAGTTATACTGATTCATAGCACTTTCCTCCCTGTTTGTCGAAGCATCCCCAATAATGATGGTACTCGTAAAGTCCACCTCATGGCCATCGCTTCCAGCAGGCCTTTTTCTAGACTTACTCTTCTGTGTCCTCGATGATGCTTTACTCGCTTTATTTTTCTTACTGCCTTTTCTCTCTTCCAAAACTACATCCTCGAGCTGCTTTGCAATGGAATCAGATATGCAAGATGACAGCATCCTGTTATCTTCCTCTTGCTCCAACATCTTTGATGGGGTTTTATTTTTCTTCTTTCTAGGTGTGGTATTCTCACCAAGAACCAGGTCACCCATTCTCTCAGCTATTACTTGGCGCTCATGTGTTTTTCAACCAATGAAGGTGAACTTGTCATGCCATCTTCACCAGGAGCAGCAGTCCTAGAATCCACAATTTCAGTTCTGGACAGCTCAGGTCCAGCAACTTTGTTCTGCTGAGGCTGTGGCTTTTGCCCTGAAAACAGAACATAAGCTCACTGTATCTTCAATTGTTCGAAATTTAAGACAGGTCGAACAAAGGAATAGATGATCTTTCATGTACAGAAATGTGCCTGCAAGTAAAACTACCGTTACTCTGGTAAACATTGTTACTTACACCAGTGACTAGAAAATTAGTGTGTGAAATCTATATCAACCCAAAGATGCTTGCTGAACCCAGATTAAGTTTTAGTGTGCAAGTTTGCTAAGAAAAATAATACAACACTCTTAAGAAATGGAGTAGGAGTTTTGATTGATAAGAGCCTCAAGAATAGTGTGGTGGGAGTGAGAAGGCAAGGAGATAGGATTATCTTAGTTAAGCTTGTCATTGGTGATATGGTCTTGAACGTAATTAGTGCGTATGCCCCCCCAAGTAGGCCTCGACGAGAGTGCTAAGAGACAGTTCTGGGACGACTTAGATGGCCTGATTAGAGCTGTACCTAGTAGTGAGAAGCTTTTAATAGGAGGAGATCTTAATAGGCATGTAGGTACTACAAACACAGGTTTCGAGACAGTTCATGGAGGTTTCGGGTATGGTAGTAGGAATCAGGAGGGGGAGAAAGTTTTGGACTTTGCGGTAGCTTTTGACTTGATGATAGCCAACACTTTCTTTAGAAAGAGAGAATCTCATCTAATGACCTTCAGTAGCGGACAACACTCTAGCCAGATTGACTTTGTCCTCGCAAGAATAAAGGACAAACGAGCATGCTTGGATTGCAAGGTGATACCAGGGGAGTGTGTTGTCACTCAACATAAGCTTTTGGTGGTAGACTTTCGTTTTCAGGTGCGTGCCCGTAGGGATAAACAAGCTAAGATTGAAAGAACAAAGTGGTGGAAACTGAAAGGGGAGACGTCAGAGGTATTCAGGGAAAAGATTATCAAAGAGGGCTCTTGGAAGGAAGAAGAGGACATAAACAACATGTGGGAGAAGATGACAACCAACATTCGGAAGGTGGTCTCAGAGGTGTGTGGAGTAACCAAAGGAAGTGGAGGCAAGGCTAAAGATACTTGGTGGTGGAACGAGGAAGTCCAAAGAGCTATTAAGGAGAAGAAATAATGCTATAGACGCGTGTACCATGACAGGAGTATGGACAACATAGAGAAGTACAAGGTGGCAAAGAAGACTGCAAAGCGAGCTGTAAGTGTGGCAAAGGGTAGAGCGTACGAGGATCTTTACCAACATTTGGGTACGAAGGAAGGAGAGAAGGACATTTATAGGATGGCTAGGGTTCGTGAGAGAAAGACAAGGGACTTCAACCAAGTTAAGTGCATTAAGGATGAAAGGGAGCATCTCTTGGTGAAGGAGGATGAGATCCGACATCGATGGCAAGAGTATTTTGATAAACTGTTCAATGGTGAGAATACGGACACAACCTTTCAGTTGGATGACTCTTTTGATGACACCAATAGGCGCTTTGTGCGGAGAATCCAAGAATCTGAGGTCAGAGAGGCGTTGAAAAGGATGAAAGAAGGTAAGGTGATGGGACCAGATGGTATCCCAATCGAGGTGTGGAGATGCCTCGGGGACATAGCTATAGTATGGCTAACCAAGCTGTTCAACCATATTTTTCGATCGAACAAGATGCTTGACGAGTGGAGGAGAAGTATATTGGTACTGATCTACAAGAATAAAGGGGATATTCAAAGTTGTACTAATAACCGAAGAATTAAGTTGATGAGCCATACTATGAAGCTATGGGAGAGAGTTATCAAGCATCGCTTGAGAGCAATAACGCGGGTCTCTATGAACCAATTTGGTTTCATTCCCGGAAGGTTAACAATAGAAGCCATTTTCTTAATAAGACAAGTTATGGAGTGGTATAGGGAGAAGAAGAAGGACCTACACATGGTTTTTATTGATTTGGAGAAAGCTTATGATAAAATATCAAGGAATGTTATATGGTGGGCTTTGGACAAACATAAAGTCCCAACGAAGTACGTCGGGCTCATTAAGGACATGTACAACAATGTTGTGACTAGTGTTCGAACAAGTGATGGAGACACGGATGACTTCCCGATTAGGATAGGACTACATCAAGGGTCAGCTTTGAGCCCTTATCTGTTTGCTTTAGTGATGGATGAGGTCACAAAGGACATACAAGGGGACAATCCTTGATGTATGCTTTTCGCGGACGATGTAGTGCTAGTTGATGAAAGTCAGACAGGAGTGAATCAGAAACTGGAGTTATGGCGGGAGACTTTGGAGTCCAAAGGTTTTAGACTCAGTAGAACTAAAACTGAGTATATGAGATGTGACTTCGGCACTACTACTCGGGAGGAGGAAGATATTAGTTTGGAAGATCAAGTAGTGCATAGGAAGGATACCTTTCGATATTTAGGATCAATGCTACAGAGAGACGGGGATATTGATGAAGATGTTAGCTATAGAATCAAAGCAGGGTGGATGAAGTGGCGCCAATCATCTGGTGTCCTATGTGACAAAAGGGTACCACAGAAGCTAAAAGGCAAGTTTTATAGGACGGCGATTAGACCTGCTATGTTGTATGGTGCAGAATGTTGGCCTACGAAGAGACGACATGTTCAACAGATAAGTGTCGCGGAGATGCGTATGTTGCGTTGGATTTGCGGTCATACAAGAAGGGATCGAGTTCGGAACGATGATATACGTGATAGATTAGGGGTAGCACCAATTGAAGAAAAGTTTGTCCAACATCGGTTGAGATAGTTTGGACATGACCAACAGAGACCTCCAGAGGCACCGGTGCGTAATGGAATCCTAAGCCAGGATAGTAACGTGAAGAGAGGCAGAGGAAGACCGAAGTTGACTTGGATAGAGGCAATAAAAGGAGACTTGAAATGATGTAATATACCTAAAGACTTAGCCTTAGATAGGAGTGCTTGGAAAACAGCTATTCATGTGCCTGAACCTTGATTGCTTCTGCTGGATTTCAACTCTAGCCTACCCCAACTTGTTTGGGACTTAAAGGCTTTGTTGTTGTTGTCGTTGTCGTCGTCGTCGTCGTCTTAAGCAAAGCTGAGGACCGTATAAATTGTCAGTGTGCTGCAAGGTGCAGGTTGAACTGCATCAGTAGCAAAGTTATGATGTGTAAATGCAGCAGTAGAGATACTAAGTCAAGGGTACTGACTAAAACTCCCAAGGGTGAAGTGACCTGCTCAATTTTTTCCTACTGTTTTGCAGATTTACAACATCTCCATTCAAAGGAATGGAGTAAGAGTCAGAAAATCCTTGACCAACAAGCTCAATTATTCTCTTTAACTTCTACTAGTTGATACACTTAAAACAAAACCACCTACCTACATCTGCGGATTGCACGCGTCCAAACACCATAGACGCAATCATATCGACAATATACAGGTAGCGTTGAGTTTGATTCCTTTCACCCGCATAGTTTTCATGTATATACGAAGAGGTTGATAACTAGAGGTACTGACAGGTTGCAAGTGAACTTACTAATTCCGACCACAGGTAAAGATTATTTGTATGTTAAAAGTAACAAGATCAACCTAGATTCGTATCTTATTTTGGAAACCAATCCAACCTTCCCAATTTATTCATGATCTATGGCAATATGTATAACCAAATACCTATGGCAAAATGTATCAGCTAAAGCAACATATCGCCATGCAATACTTCAGCATGCGCACAGGACAGTAATACCATCAAGCTGTTCTCGTCCTTCTCTCATTCAAATGAAGTATGGAACACAAACCTTGGGCACTGCGGTCACGGCGCGGCACATAACCCTCAATGGCATCGGAGGGCCCAATCCAGTCCTGCAGCGAGACCTCCCCAGCTCCGGCGACCTCCTTCTCCTTGATCTCCACCTTCCTTCCCTCGTCCTTGTTCCTCCCATCCACGCCCTGAAACCCTAACCCGCTCCCGTCCCCGACGGCGGCGGCGGCGGCGGCGCCCTCGACGAGCGCGACGACCGCAGCGAGGCGGTCGAGCGGGACCCCGTAGGGCCGGTCGTGCGGGAGCGAGGCGGCCAGGGCCTTGGAGGCGACGAGGCAGCGCTCGGAGCAGAACTTGCGCGCCTCCTCGAGGTCGTAGACGCGGTGCTCGCTGAGGGCGATGTGGAAGCGGGGCCCCGTCGCGGAGGCGGCGGCGGAGGGGAGAGGGTTGGGGCACGCGGGGTTGCCGCAGGCGTCCGCGATGGTGCGCTCGGTGACGACGTCGTCGTAGTCGGCGCGGGAGAGCAGCGCGGAGGCGGCCGCGTGGAGGAGCGCCTCGTTGGACGCCGCGGCGCCGTCGAGGAGCGCCATCTGGATGCGGAGCACCGCCGAGGCCACCGTCCGCGGCGCCTCCGCGGAGGCGGCGGCGCCGGTTGGGGAGCTCATCGCCGGAAGGTTCGCAGAAGGCGGCGAGGGGTTTGGGCGAGCTGGAGGAGCCTGGAAGAAGAAGAAGAAGAAGATGCGTTTTGCGATTGCAAATGAGTTGAAGCGAAGCGGCAGCAGCGAGCGACTCGGGCTATTTGGGCTCGTGCTGGTAAGGCGGTTCTGGCGTTCTTGGGCTCGGTCTCTTTTTTTCTTGACAGGCTCGGCCTCTTTGTTAGGCTGCCCTGGTGGGCTTATGTAGTTTGGTGGCCCAAATCCTGGCCCACGTGCGTAAGTTGCACTAAGACGACAATGAGATTTGCATGGACCAATTCAAACTCATAGCGCACGTGACCATGTGGGCTGCGGCCTGCTGCTGTGAACATGTGGGACTGTGGGAGGCGGGAGGCCAGCAGGGTGGCACCAACGTGGGCTTGATTTTCTTTTGAATTCGTTTGAATTCGTTTATGGCCTCAAACAATCAATTTAAACTTGGTTTTAGATAATACATGGGGAAAGAAAATCCAATATAGACATAAGTAAGTGTGAAGTGCAGTGGTTGAGAAAGGTACGTGCGAGGGAGAGGTCACAGGTTTGAATCTTGCTGGCCGCGAAGCGCGTGATTTTCATGTGAAAAATGCCGTGACTTACTATTTTGGATAAAAAAATTGCAATTTTTTTGGCCCAGATTCGATAATTTTTTGGAAACGGACCCGCCCCTATGAAATCATCTATTTGTAGCAACGCTTCCGGACGACCGGCAAAACAGCCTCTGTACTTATCAGCCACCCTTAAAAAGCCTGGGTGTAGTAGTGATTTGGGACGGATTTAAGGAGTAGTACTCTGGCCTGCTTGAGATACAAAAGAAGACAAAAGGGGTCCTGTAATGTAAAAGTTTTATTGTTTTTTTCCTATGCATGCGATCAACGTTTTTAAATTGAAAGGTCACAGGATGATCTGGAAACTTCGCAGGGCGCCCTTAGAATGGATTGGGCAGCTAATTGGCGGTACGGTGCATGCCACACTGCACTGCACTCCAGAATGAACTCGGAACAAGTTGTGACCGACACTTGTGCCACGACAGCTCTTCCTGATTTGCCCAAGCTAGCTACCCAATCCTACCTTACTCCACCATGCAGCTGAGCATCTGTGCTGGCGTCAGTGAGTGTGAGTGCACGCCCACGCCCGGCCCCGCCTAGCCTTGGCGATTTTTTTATTATTTTTAATATTTTTTTAAACTGTTTTTAAAACTGACACTGTTTTATTTATTTTTTCAAAACTAACACTTTTGAACGCGTCTGTTTGCATGGCGCGGTAAATTCACGCTGCCGCGTCATGCATGGCGGCGCGGCATGGGGCGGTCAACGGCCGCGGCGACTGCTGACGTGGCAGGGCCGACGTGTCGTGCATCATGGCGCGGCGGTGCCGCGCCACCCATCATGGCACGATGAGGCTTTACTTACCCGTTGCGGCACTGGCTCCCTCCCTCTGTCTGTCTGCCCGACTCGAGGTGAGGCCGCTCGCTGCGCCCGCGCCATTGCCTCCCGGCTCCCCCACGGCCGGCCGCCGACTTTCCCTCCCTTGTCGGCCCCCTCCCTATCTTCCCCGAAGCTCCTCTTCGGCCTTGTCAAGTTAATGAAGCTCCTCCTCGGTCTCCACGGTGGATCGAAGGATTTGAATGAGTAGTTAGGGTATGGAGAAAAATATGAATTCGTTAAAACATTGGATTGAAGGATTATGATTAGAATTGCCAATGTTAAGGTTAATTGGTTAGTTAGAATTATGATTACCATGTATTCTAAGGTCAATTTTTATATGAATTTTGCTTGTTTGAGTTTGCATCTCAACTTTTATACGTGAATAAATATATGGACACACTGTTGATGTACCAAATTTTATTTTTTAGTGACCAAAGTATAGTTTTTATATAGTTTGCATGTTTACATCTAAGATAGAGTTTGCACAAAAGTGTAGGTTATATTTTATTTGTTGTATTACGAATGGTTCTCATTGACATTAATTTGTGATGTTTTGATTTTTGTTTGTTAAATTACAACCGTTTTGTTAGATGGAAGACATGTATCGGGAGGAGTTTTGGCGAAAACAGGGTTGTCCTAGAGAATTATACCCCGACGCGTCTAGCAAAGATGCCCTCATCCCTCCTGACCTCCTTATACCTAACTGTGACTGTGGTTTCCCGGACGACGTGTTTCAATCGAGACATCCAGACACAATGGCGCGTTGCTTCTACACATGCAGTTGTTTTAATATAAGTAATTATTTCCACTATTTTTTTCTTCATTTGTGTAAGTATGCTACTAATATTTTATTGAAATCTTGTTGTGTAGGCCCATGAGAGGTGCTTTTTTCAGTGCATCGACCGTGCAGACAAGTTTGACCCAATGTACCTCCTTTTCGACGATTGGTGGAGAGGGAGACATCCACGTGACCACTTCGAGCGGTGGGTTCCACCCCCCTAATCCCCCGCCAATGACGGCTAAGGAGAAGCACCTAGCCGTAGTTAGATGTCTCGAGTAACCTTCTCTGTGCGATTACGGAGATCGAGCTGTGATAAACCCTAAGAATACGTTGGAGTTTGTGTGTCCCAACAAGCACGAAGTAAGTGGAAAGTGTATCTGTTTAAATGTTTATCTCTATATGTGTGCATGTACTAATTTATTCTCTTGTAGCGTTATGGATTTGCGAAATGTCGTTTTAATGAGTGGCTCTACGGTCCTAAGAATCAATGGCCAGAGCCACCAAAAGTAAAGGAAAAGAAGAAAGAATGGTTAATTTATAAAGCATCTCCAGTCATGTGCGAATGTGTTGTTAAATCCAACTATGGTCTATTCCCTTCAGAGCTTGGAATAGGCCATTATTGCGGCCATATAGTTGACTATGATGAGGTTGGCTATTTTTTTGGTAAATATGAAATCGTATTTTGTTTCTTTTGCTAGGATATATATGATATAATTTTTTGTTTGAACAGAGCACTAGTAAATACAGGTGGAAATGTTATGATGGTCAAACTAAGTTTTTGGATGAACTGAAGGGGAGGCAAGTAATTGCATGGAAGAGGGGATATGGACCTGACTACATCAACCTATTCATTAAACATCACAAAAAGAAGATGCGTGAGTTTGCTAGACAACGCGGTATTCGTAACCCGATTGATGTTAGGCTTGACAAATAGAGGTTGGAGAGACGTAGGGCGTTAGAGGAGGAGAGGGCAAGGAAGAAGGCAAAGGAGGAGACAAGAGTACAGATGTAGGTCTTGAATGACCATGCTGTTTCATTGTGTGCCAGTGAGTGCTTGAAAGCCTTTTTATTTTCGTTGCCTGATTTTAAATGTAATATAATCGCGTTGCTAACTGGTTGCATTTTATACATGAAGGGATTGGATGCAGCGAGTACCATGCCGCAGAGGTGGCCCGTGCAAGGTATAAGGAAAAGAAGTTAGATGAGCATGTAACGCGAATTTGGTCGCACCGTTCAATCTCCGATTGTGTTGGGTGATGATGGGGACGAGGATGAGGATGACCTTTGCGGAGTTGAGCGATCTTGTCGCTCTAGTGGAGGCGGGCTTGCAGGAGAAGGAGGCTGAGGAAGACACTGATAGACTTAGCGAGCTTATTGCTCAAGCAGATGCGGGCTTGCAGGCGGAGGAGAACTCGTTCTTCTCTCAGGCCGCAGAGGCCGCAGATGAAGCGGAGGCCGCTTACTACAGGCGACAGACAGATCAGGGCAATGCAGGTGAGCCTAGCCACATGAGCCAGACAGAGGAGGACGCATTCTTGACTCGAGGCCGCGAGAGGCCACAGGTGAAAGCGAGGCTGACTTACTATAGGCGATGTGTAGATCAAGGCAATGCGGGTGAGCCTAGCCACAACAACAAGGTAGTGGTAGAGGGGGTGGTACTCGGACTGACGAGTTGCTTACTCGGTATGTTTTTAGACTGAGGATTAGTAGAGGTGTGGTAGAGGATTGGTACAAGTGTGCTAGTTCAATGTTTTAGATTTGGTATTTGTATTGTAGTAGAACTTTCTCGGTGCTGCATTGTGTTTCATTTGAACTATTTATGTATTGTACCCATGTAACAAATACTGTTTAATTTTTGTAACAGACATTGTGTTATCTCATAAAACTTTCGCCATAAAAAATGGTATTACAATGCTGCAATTTGCATGTATTTGTTACGTTCTGGTATATAATGCTTTTGCTTTTCTCATTGTTACACATTTGGGTATTACTTTTGGGTCTTAGTTTGGTGCCCATCTTGTCCAAACATTATCTAGAAGACTGTACCAATCACTAATGACCTTGTGTTATGTCTATGCTTTGTTTTTTAAAAGATAAATAAAAAGTTGTTCTCACCATTGCAATTTTTCGAAACCCCCTAAATTATATGCATCAAAATCTTGCTGCTACTGATGCGCTCAGAAGGGAGTCTGGCCAGCGTCCAGCATGGGTTTGCCGCGCCACCGTCCATGGCGTGGCAAGGCTGATGCGCCAGCCGCCATGGCGCGGCAAGGCTGACGTGCCCCCAGCCATGGCGCGGCGGCAAATAGAACAAGGCACTTTTGTTATGTTCTCACATGAGCCAAGTTATTTTGTCGTGTCGGTTTAACGAATAGGTCAGCAGGAAGGTTAAGTGCACGAGACAATCAATACACAAGTTTAGCAATACTAACTTGTACACGTCCCAAGTTCATCGTAAGTTCGACAATACCTCTATTCGATATAAGTTTAGCAAGTCATAACTATGACACAAGTTCATCAATACATAAGTTCGACATTACTCGACATACTACATGTTCCATCAGTATATGGGTGTTTGAGTACAAGTGCATCATGTCATCCTAAAGAACTCCTACGACCCAGGAGTATATAGGTACTGCGGACGTCGCTGCCTCTTCGGACGTGAAGAAAGCACGTTAGGGGTGAACCCAACATCAGTACGGTCTCACTGGCGGTACACCCGGCGGTACTACTGAGTGTAACTAGGACCCTGCAATTACAATATA